TACCCTTGGCACTCTCAATACTTCACATCCCTTGTGGGGGCAGCCCTGGTTAATGGCTACATGGCTACCAGGGCATGGGCACACACATGCTCATGGAGATAGTGCATGGACCAGCACTACAGACTATGCATGAAAGGGTGGCTTTGCATATAGGTTGGCCATAGTCATGCCCCTTCACTTCGCTAGCCCCATGTTTAAGCTGACTGAGCTATCTTGTGTCATAGTACTTGGGTGTGTTCAAGGCTAATGGGTTACCTAGCACAACCACTTTCCATAGTCCCTATTTTGGCACATAAGCAATACTTGCCATGGATCAACATGCGCCAAATGAGATCCATGACCATGCATAATGAGGCCATGATCTAGTGCCGCTGACCTTAGTGGAACCATCAATGGCCTACACTTCATAGTGTGTTTGGTAGCACCACCAAAAAGCTATCAGCAATTGGGTCGAACCTTGAGGTAGAAAAGACAAATGGACCACCACAAAGCAACATGCACCCGTTAAATTTGAGGGCCATTACACATAGAGCACAACCACTATGGTTTGAATAACCTTAAAAAAGTTGGATGAAGTCTCTACGGGGCGACAAGGTGAAATGGATCGCGATAGAGAAATAAACCAACATAAGCAAGACTTGGGTTAACTAGGCGACCTTGCTTGCAACAACGAGCAACAAAATTGGAGCACACATGGATATGGCTAGAACAGATGCCCACTCACTAAGAAGGCCATTTTCAAGGATGACAATTGATTGAGTGGGGGAACTATCACGATTGAAAAGCAGGCTTAATCTACCTACGCTTAGTGGGCTACATTGAGTGGCATTATTGTAATTTTCTTTAGTATGATTTTTTTAACTAATGTTATATTTTGGTGGGATCTCAAAAGCTTAACGCCCTCTATGAGCGGTGGTTGACCTCCTCTAATGCCTACCCTTGGCACTCTCAATACATCACATCCCTCATGGGGTGGCCCTAATTAATGGCTATATAGCTACTAGAGTTCCTCATAGGCACACATATGCTCATGGGGACAATGCATGAATCGACATTGTCCACCATGTATGAGAGGGAGGCTTTGCATATGGGTTAGCCATAACCATGGTATCGCTAGTCCCATGTTTAAGTTAATTTAGTTATCATATGTCTTACTACTTGGGTGTGTTCAAGGCCTAGTTGGTGCCTAGCATAGTTTTTAGGGAAAATTTCTTAAACTACCCTTATGATTTAGTTAATTGACTAATTCACCCTTATTGTTTACATATTATCTTAAAGTACCCCCACTATTTCTAACAATTGTCTAAAACCTCCCTTATCATTAATTTTCTGTCACACTCCGTTCGCATGTAACATCACTCTTCCCGTATTGTCTACGTGGAGGATCCAAGGCTCTTCATCCTAAGTTGACTTCGTTCTAATTGGGGCTGGTTCCACCCTGGTGGAGGCTTCCTTCACGTACTTGATTTCCATCAGTTCGGGCGTTGTGGTGCTGAAAGTGCATTTTGCCACGAAGTCGGCCAGGGCTTGGGCCTTAATTGCTGTTCGGGGTTCGTACCGAATGTCGTATTCACTGAGCTCTATAGCCCACTTCGTCAGCCTCCTAGATACCTCGGGCTTGAGCAGTACTTGCCTTAGAGGCTGATTGGTAAGGACAACAATCGTGTGGGCTTGGAAGTATGACTGAAGTTTCCGAGCTGCAGTGATCAGCGCATATGCCAGTTTCTCGATCTCTGGGTACCTAGTTTCGGCATCCTGCAAAACTTTGCTCACGTAGTAGATAAGTCGTTGGACCCAATCTACTTCTTTTATCAGTACCGAGCTGATTACCTCGTCACTTGTGGAGAGGTACAGCTTTAAAACATCGCCCTCCTCGGGCTAGGTTAAAACCGGTATGCTGGTCGGGTAATTTTTTTGTTCGTCAAAGGCGGACTAGCATTCCTCAGTCCACTCGAAGTCTTTACTTTTCTTAATGGCCTTGAAGAAAGGCAGGCAGCGTTCTGCCGACTTAGACATGAAGCGGCTCAGGGCAGCTATACGACCATTTAGCCTCTGAACCTCCTTCAATTTGCGGGGTGGGGTTAGATCCAGGATGGTCTTTATTTTTTCAGGGTTGGTTTCGATGCCATGTCGGCTAACTATGTAGCCCAGAAATTTTCCCGATGTGACACCGAAGACACACTTGTTCGGGTTTAGTTTCATATTATACTTGCGCAAGATTTCAAATACGCATTGCATGTCACTTATTAAATAGTTCGAAAGTTGGGTCATGACGACCATGTCGTCTACATAACATTCAACCTTATTGCCAATCAGTGGCTCAAAAATTCGATTTACAAGCCTCTGGTAGGTCGCCCTGGCATTTTTCAGCTTGAAGGACATGAGCTTATAGCAGTACAGGCCCAGTTCGGTAATGAAAGTCGTTTTATCTTCGTTGGCAGGGTCCATCTTGATCTGGTTGTAGCTCGAGTACGCGTCTAGAAAACTCAGCAACTCATGCCCTGAGGTCGCGTCCACCAGACAGTTGATTTTGGGGAACGAAAAACAGTCCTTTGGGCAAGCCCTATTTAGGTCGGTATAGTCGACTCACATGCGCCATTTACCGTTGGCCTTTTTAACTAGAACGGGGTTAGCCACCCAGCTCGGGTAATGGGCCTCCCTGATGAAATCGGCTGCGAGAAGTTTTCCGACCTCCTCGTCGACTATCTTCCAGCGCTTCGGGGCGATGTTGCATTTCTTTTGCCTAACGGGCCTGACTAGGGGATCAGTATTTATCTTGTGAGTAATTATTTTCGAGTTTATGCCGGGCATTTCTGTTGCGGACCATGCAAATATGTCTAAATTTTGGAGTAGGAAACTTATCAACCGAGTTCGAAGGAGTTCCACTATTGTTGCTCCAATCTGGAGGGTCCTGGTCGGGTCTTCCTTTGAAGTTGGGATGGAGATCGTTTCCTCGATCGGCGTGGCTCGTTCTTCAGGGTATTCCACAGGCCGCTCGAGCTCAACACATTCTGTCAGCTTGGCTTTCCCTTTGAGGGCCGCCGCATAACACCTTTGGGACTCGAGTTGATCACCTCGAGCTACTCCTATGCCAAAGTCCATGGGGAACCTTATCGTCAGGTAGTAGGTGGACACCACGGCATGAAGCGCGTGGGTGATGGGCCTTCCTATAAGGGCGTTGTACGGGGAAGGTGTGGTTACTACCAGGAAGGTGTGCACAAATCTTGCGACGTTGGGCCACGTCCCGATCTCTACAGAAAATGAGATTCGGCCGAGGGGCCTAACTCCTCTCCACTGAAGCCCACTAGGGGGTGTCGCGGGCTGGAGGTCATTATCCCGGAACTATAACTTGTCAAAGGTGCTTCTGAACAGGATATCGGTTGAGCTTCCTGAATCCACCAAGACACGTCTGACCTCGAAGTCATTGATCTTCATCCTTATGACTAGCGCGTTGTCATGGGGGTACTGGACTCCTCGCGCATCGTCCTTGGTGAAAGATATGGGGTCTGCAGGCCGTGGGTGATTCGGTGGGTTCCGTTCTTCATGCTCCAGTTCACGGACCGAGGTCCTCCTTGCCGCCGTGGTGCAGCCCGCGACGATGGATCCGCCTGTAATTGTGTTTATCACCCCGCGGACTGGTCTTTCTTCGGGCGGTTCTTGCTGCTCGGCTCGCCTAATATTGGACTCGGGGGCGTCTCTCCTCTACTCCCTCTGCCGATCTGCCTGACTTTTATTACTTTTCTGTACAAAATTCTTTAAGTACCCACGACAGATGAGTTCCTCAATCTCGTCGCGGAGACTTTTACAGTTTTCGGTACTATGACCGTGGTCTTTATGGAAATGGCAATATATATTCTTATTCCTGGTGGTGGGGTCCCCTTCATCCGGGGTGGCCACCTTACAAATGGTGCATCTTTAATTGTCATTAAGATTTCCCCTCGCCTTCGCGTTGAGAGGGGTGTAGTTCGTCTTCTTAACTGGAGGGCTAGAGAGTGGTGAATATGCGATACCTTTGCCTTTGAGGGGTCAGAGTGCTTATATACTGGCGTTTGACAGGTTCGGTGGGGTTGATCCTGAATCCCTGCTGCGGCGATCCTCTATCAGGTCATACCTCGGAGTGGCTGGCCGTTACTGGCAGGGCCGAGAGCAGGCAGGCTACAGTGACCATTGCATGGTACGATCCTGACAGCTGGGAGACAACCTGTAGGCACGCCGCCGCCAGGTAGGAGACAGGGGCGCAACCTTCTGAATTGGCAGGCGCTGCGCCGTTAGACGAGGGACGCGAGAACAGTCTGGCAGGTACGGCTTTGTCATATGAGAAACTTCCCGTAGAATGTCGAGCCGCCCTGTAGTGAGCTACTTTGTAGCGAGCTACCTTGCGACGAGCTACTGGTGGCATGCCGAGGTGATTTTGCCTGAGGCGAGTTGTCTTCGAGGTGACCCACTTGCTTGAGCCTGGAGCGAACTTGTTGTTCTAGTTCGCGAACTAGGATGAACTTAACTCAGAATGCAGCTTGGGACATCGGCGTACTCGGGCTCACTCTGTGGCGAGCTGATACTTGCTGAGCTATCACCTGCGTCGAGTCATGTCCACGTACCGGTCCGCCTATGCCGAGCTATCGTATATGCTGAATCACGCACACGTGTCAATTAGTTAAGAGGTCGGGCCAAATCATCATTCATCAGACATTATATTACCTTTTTTAAAATTTTTATTAATTGAATTTTATTTTGAAAATTTGAGTAATAATAAATGACAAAGTTAGCATTTCATTTTGATGTCAATTGTTAGAAATGGACACACTTAAAAATAATATATTAATAATAGTAAGGACTGAGTTAGTCAATTAACTAAAACTATAAGGATAGTTTAAAAAACTTATCTTAGTCATTGTTGGCATAGTCTCCTCTTATTCTTGGCAACGAGACGATGTTTCAATAATCAATACCACTTACCTTGATGAATCATCAATGGACCTACACTTACCCTTACATCACAAAAAGCTTGTTTTAGGCTTATCTGGACACTAAATGGGTTTTAGGTTGGCGAGTTAGGGGTTTGGGAGATGAGGTTGATCTAGGTTTTTGACAACGTTGTAGAACAGAGGATCCATTTCAAACATTTCTAATTTTTCTCCTTGGGTAAGATAGAGAAGGGTTAATGGCTGCCGTTGGCGCATGGAAAACGCTAAAATCTAAAAACACTCTGATCAGGAGATTTCTCTCTCCGACACGTTACTCTAACAATTACCATTTCAGTGTCGTCTCAACAGTTGGAAAGGAGGAGTTGTTGGATACTTCATCCTCGACATCATTCACATTCTCATCTGGCGGAGCAGGAGAAAATGTGGAGAAGAGAGATGATAATATCTATGTTAAGGCACCGGGTTCAAGTTCCCAACGGGAATCGTCATCGTCTTCAACGTCGGTGACTATGCCGATGTCGTTCATGACAGGGTCCATCGTCGGCAAGCGGTTCTACAAACAGGTCAATACAAGAGAAGCTGATGATGGGTGTGGGTGGACTGTTATGCTCGATTATAGAACCCTTAAGACACCCTCCAAGAGACCCCTCAAGCTCCCTACCCTTGCCCTTGCTAAGGCCATTGCAGCTGAATGGGAATATCAGGTGCTCTTCTTCTTCTCCTTTCCTGGTGACAACTATCTGATTCCTTTTGGTAGATTTATCCAATTTGGTTAGTTGTTTGTTGGATTTGTTGTAAATTCTGATTCACAATAATTCTAGAGTGGTTTTGAGAAATTCCAATCTAGAAAAATCAAATGGCTAACAAGGAACATATCGGTAAAAATACAATGGCTACAATGATCTGCAAATGGGCTAGCTGATATACTATCCAAGCAAGCAAGAGGTTAATAGGAATCAATTGTAATTTGTAATTGGGAGAGGTAGTAATATCTACCTCTGCATGGGATGTTATATATATATTTCCTGTCCATTATAGAAATTTGTTACTTATCAAAAAATAAAAATCCAATCTTATCTTCCTCTAATGTAAATTTCATTTCGTCTTTTATTGTCTTTTTGTTTAATTAATATGCGTTTTGGTTCTACTTTTCTATTGTCCTTTGTCTAATGGAGCTTGTATAATGAATTTTGATAGCAAACAGATGGGATCAGACCCTTTACAATGCCTCTCATGAAACTTGCTTGTACTGCATTGGAGAGAGTTCCATTGACGCGGATGAAAATTATTGAACATCTGATGAACAAGTTTCATCAAGATTTGGTATTCTGCCGTTTTCCTGGTGACAACGATCTAACAAGTGGAGTTCTTGGTAAGTATTCTGATCATATTCTTTTCTTCTTAGTCTTTACGTGGTTTTGTTGGATTTTTGTGTGAAGAAGGTTCTATGCTTCCAATCTGATATTCACCAGATGAACATTTTGAATGATTTTTTTTTTTTCTTTCTGAGGGTTTGAAAACAATGTGTTCTTCTATCAATTGATTTTCTCTCTCTCTCTTTTTTTTTTCTGTGTAATTTGCCTACCCATCATCTATAATGTGAATTTTCAAATTCTTGATGGAAGCAGAGTCGCCGAGAATTGTCAAATGGTTTTCTTCTAGAAGAGAAAATTGCCTGGACTTCGGAGATAAACCACCTCTTGGCATGATTTTGAATATTACTTTCAGTCTGTCACTAGACCTACTATTTTGTTACCCGTTTGTAGTTCTAAGAAATTTCCTTTTCTTCTTTAAACTCTGTTGCTACAAGGCCATGCAAAAATGTTAATTGGTCATGGACACTTTTAACTTGACTGTGGATGTAGAGATTATGTATGTGTTTGGTTCCATGGGCATTTATAGATGGGGTGTTTTGTATGTTTAATTGAAAACATTACTTTAAACATTTATTGTTTTTGTTGTTTGGTTGGGCTCCAGGTAAGCATTTCATTTCAATAAATGTTGTGGCGTTGGGAGAAACCAGAATTTGAAGTTTCTCCCAACGCCTCATGCACATAAAGCCAATCGTTTCTGTTTTTTAATGTTTATTTGAAATGCCCACAGAACCTAACATAGCCTATAATGCCCTTTTTGGTTCCAAAAAAATTTGCAAATTAAATAGATGAAAGTAAATTGAATATTAATATATCCTGAGAATAGATCTAAGATTAAAATTTCAGTTTGTGAGATTTGTGATTATGTATTTAGAGATGTTTACCAACTTCATGTCCTGTTTAGGATAATTGATAATAGGATGAGTTGACTATAAATTTTAGGGGTGAGGTAACCACCTCCCTTTTGAAATTATTTGTTGGAAATTAATAAAACTGGAGGGGCGCATGATAAGGGTGTGTGGGAGAGTAAAGTCCAATGCATGTATCCCTTTCCTAGTTGGCTTTAGGGATGCAACTTGGTATTTGTGAACCCAAAACCTGATTGACCCAACCTGATTTTGGGCAGAGATAACAGAGTGAGTGTACTAAGAGCTTTGTATGCCAGATTAAAGTTTTGGAGCATGGTAGCTTAAAGAAATAAGTAGAAATCTGCAGAATTCAAAAATATGAATAGAAAAGGTAGTTTCATGAAGAGAGAAGGACGAGAGAAGGAGAAGAAGAGATCTTGAAAAGAAAAGAGATCAATAATCTGGCTGGCCCCTTCACTTATTATTTATACTAAAAATAATAGAGCATTGCAAAGACAACTATGCCCTTATAGGGCGGCAAAAATAAAACAACATATATAAGACTCAAAAACATAATAAAATTTGGACTCACATAACTACTATGGTCCCACCTCCTATCTAACAACCAGTGTTTTAAAACGCGGAGGCGTGCGAGGCGTTCCACAACCTAGAGGCATGAGGCGTAATTCCGAACGCAAGAGGCGTAAGCCTCCCGAACACAAGGAGGCGTAAGCCTCCTTAAGAGGAGGGGGGTTATGAGGAGGATGAAAAGGAAGGGGGGATCTCATTTTTTCTTTATTTTAATAAAAATCTTTTAATTTAAGAAGAATAAAGATGCATAATAGTAGTTCAAAGGGAGGGTCTTGTCGAAGCGAAGAGCCGAAGGGACAGGGTGCAAACCATTTTTTTTCCCCTTATCTTTTCTTCCTTTCCCTTACTTTTCTTTTCTTTGCTTTTCTCTTTTTTTCTTCTCTTTCCTTTCCTTTTCTTTCCCTTTCTTTTCTTTTCCTTTCCTTTCCTTTCCCTTTTTTCTTTTTTTCTTTTTTCTTTTTTCTATATTTTCATATTAGATGTGCATGAGGCGCAAGAGGCATACGCCTCTAGCATGCCTCATGAGAAAAGCACAAGAGGCGTACACCTCAGAGGTGTCAACACCTCTGGCATATGCCTCAGGGCGTTTTGGGAGCGCCTCCCCATGCCTTTTAAGACACTGCTAACAACTAACATAAAACATCTACTCAAACAAACAACATAAAATTGATTAATCTTCAACACTCCCCCTCAAGTTGGGAGTAAATGTCACACATTTCCAACTTGTGTAGATCATGTTCAAGCTTGTTCTTTGCCACCCCTTTAGTGATCACATCAGCCAGCTGCAACTCTGAAGAGACATTAGGCAAACAGACTTCTCCGGACGTTACCCTTTCTCTTGTAAAGTGTCTATCAACTTCAATGTGTTTTGTCTTGTCATGCTGAATTGGATTATGGGCAATATTGATTGTAGTTTGATTGTCACAGTATAGCATCATAGGTTCCTCTGCTTTTACCCCAATCTCAATCAAAAGAGATTTAGCCCAAAGAAGTTTTGAGACACCATGAGCCATAGATCTATACTCAGCCTCTAGACTTGACCTTGCCGCAACCACTTGCTTTTTACTCTTTCAGGAGATCAAGTTTCCACCTACAAGGGTACACACTCCTGATGTAGACCTCTTGTCATCTAAGCATCCTGCCCAGTCTGCATCTGTATAGGATTCTAGCTTTTGATTGTCATGATTTGAGAAAAGAATGCCTCTACTAGGGTGCTTTTTCAGATATGCAAGTATCCTCTCAATAGCTTCCCAGTGCTGAACCCGAGGTGCATGCATGTACTGACTCACAACACTGACAGCATAAGAAATATCTGGTCGTGTCATGCATAGATATAGCAGTTAGCCCACCTTTGATATCTCCTCACATCTTTTACCAACTCACCATCCACATCATTAATTTTATGATTTGGATCAATAGGAGTGTTTGCTAGTTTGGTCCCTAGCTTCCCAGTCTCCCGCAGTAGGTCAAGTACATACTTTCTTTGTGAGATGAAGATCCCATGCTTGGATTTTGCAACTTCAATTCCCAAGAAGTATTTGAGCTCGCCAAGATCTTTGATTTCAAATTCTTGCTGCAATGATTTTTTGAGATCATTAATCTCCTCCAGATCATTTCCTGTAACCACTATATCATCCACATACACAATTAGAATTAACACCAGAGCACCTCTCCTCTTTACAAAGAGGGTGTAATCAGACTGGGTTTGTGTGTATCTAAAACGGATAAGTGCCCCTTTGAACCTGTTAAACCAAGCCCTAGGTGATTGTTTCAGTCCATACAGAGATTTTTTGAGTTTGCACACCTTTCCTTTACCAACATTTTCATAAAAACCTGCTGGAATGTCCATATATACCTCATCTTGTAAATTACCATTGAGGAAAGCATTTTTGACATCAAGCTGAAACAAAGGCCATGAATAGGTGGCTGCTAGAGATAAAAAAATACGAACTGAACTCATCTTAGCTACCGGTGCAAAGGTTTTTAGATAATCAACACCATAGGTCTGAGTATACCCTTTTGCTACCAATTTTGCCTTGTACCTCTCTATCTTGCCATCGGCCCCATACTTCATTGTAAATACCCATCTACATCCGACTGTCTCTTTGTCTGGGGGAAGATCAACTATTTCCCAAGTTTGGTTTTTAACCAAGGCTTTCATCTCTTCTTGCATGTCTGTTTTCCACTTAGGTTTGGAGAGAGCCTCAGTAACATTCCTGGGTATAGACATAAAATCCAGGGAAGAAAGTAATGCATGGTAGGAGGGTGATAAGGCACTGTAGGAAAGATGGTGTGAAATGCAATGGGCTGTACACTTTCTCTTCCCTTTACGAAGTGCAATGGGAAGATCAAGATCAGTGGGATTAGCTGCAACAATGGTGTTAGGTACAAGAGCATTATCATTAGAAAACATAACAGGCTCAGGCTCAAGAGGAATACCTGGAACTGTATCTGTTGAATCTGGAGTTTCAGAAGGACTGATAGAGAGTGGTGTGGGTTGAGGATGTATGGAGTCAACCATCGTTTGCTGGCGCTGATATTTCTGTGAGGCTGCCCATAGTGGCTCAGGTAATGAAACTGATGGAGGTGCTGGCTGAATTGATGGAGGTGCTGGCTGAATTGATGATGGAGGTGCTGGCTAAACTGATGATGGAACTAATAGAGGCACCAAATATACAGGAAGAGGAACAGATTGTAACTTCTCCTCCCCAAAACTCTCCCCTTGAGGAAAACCACTAGAGAAGAAGAAGGTGGATTGAAAAAAGGTAGCATCCATAGTGACAAATCTGCTCCTTTACACTGGGTCATAACAGCAATACCCCTTTTGGTTCTGTGCATACCCAAGAAAAACACATTTCTTGGCCTTAGGATCCAATATCTTGCGGTGGGGGCCAAGAATGTGAACATAGGAAATACAACCAAAAACCCTCAGAGGTATGTGAAATATCTCCCCATTTGAAAAAAGAAGACTAAATGGTACTTTAAACCTCAAAGCCCGTGAAGGAACACAATTAATCAAATGCATGGCTGTAAGGATTACATCTCCCCAGAAATGCACAAGAACTGAAGTACACACAAGAGAAAGTAATGGTTTCCTCCCATGGAAGGGATATGACATGGCCCCCATACATCAGTGTGAACAATATTAAAAGCAAAAGTACTTCTTTTATCACTTGGTTTAAACGACTGTCTACAATGCTTTCCTAGCTGACAACTCTCATACTCCAAAATAGATAACTGAACAGACTCAAACAACTTTGGGAAAAGAAATTTCAAAGAACTAAAAGAAAGATGTCCCAAGCGATTGTGCCAAGGAATAATCTGGTTCATTGACTTTGACCCACTACTACTGTTGCTGCTAACATGGTGGCCCTGATGTCTCGGAATCTCATCCAGAAGGTAGACTCCATTCACCTCACGACTACTTGTCTTCTTTGACTCCAGATCCTGCAAAACACAATTACCTGGAAGAAAGGTCAAGGAACAATTCAAATTTTTTGTCAAAGAGCTAACAAATAGTAGGTTGGTATGAAGTCTAGGAACATGTAAAACAGAGGATA